TTTGATTTTTAACACCTAACTAGCACGTACGAATTAGACAAAAGTTTTTAACTATCACCAATAATAAATGAATCAATGCATGACATTGTCTAGTATTAATTATATTTGAGAAATAATTAATAAAAAGGTTATTTGAGATTTAAGATGTTTGAGAATTTGATAGTAATTACTTTTTATTTGGAAGTAATGTAAAATATATTTTAAAATCTTACTTAACAATTTAAGTTATTAAATTAAGATATTTTTTTAATATAGTAATAGAGTTTTAATAACTAGGTGGTTATGAGTTTAAATTTCATCATTTTTATTTATTTGATAAAAATCAAGCATGAGATAATGTAGATCTGTCCAAGTTTCAAACTAAATGACTTCTCGTTGAAAGGGTATGTTAATAATATAAATTATATATGAAAATATCATTTAATAGTTTAAGATACACGGTTGAGATAGTTCTTTAAAACTTTTCAAAAAAAAATTATTTTAAATATCAACATAATAAACCGATTCAAAAATATAAAAAAATAAATTTAAAATGAAACATTAAATTTTAACTGCCCCATTTTGAAGATAATATCAAATAGGATCTCAATTTACAATAAAGTAACATGGCTGAAGGTTGGTTGGAGTTTCTCCTGAAAAATAGTTATTATTCTACTTATATATATATAATTTTATTTTTAGATTTGTGAATTGAGACTAAATCTTATTTTTTATACATGAGTTTGATAGTTTATTTAACAACTATACTTTTAAAATTTTGTTTTTCAAACCAGTTTTTAAGGGTTGAGATTAAACTCTATTACCCTTCTTCTTATATTTTATTATAACCTAAAATAAGATCCATTACTTCTTATTTTTTAAACAAAGTACTGAGATTAAATTTCTTATTTTTCTAACTGAATTTTAGGTAAGTTATCCAGCTTTACATTCCTGCATTCTTGTCGTAATCTTTCGTCCTCAAGTGTAGAAAACAATCTACGTATGAATCATCACCCGAAGAGTTTTATTCTAATTTCTTCTACCGTTTTGAGCCTATGATTAATGATCATGAATATATAAAAACGTACAACAAGAAGAATTTGTTTTTTGGGTAAAAATCGTGTTTTATAAAATTTTAATTTTGTCAAAAAATATATTATTTTTATATATTTAAAATAAAAAATATTTTAAAAAATAATTATTATCATAATATTAAATACTATAATAATAAATACCCCCAATCACCCGGGGTTATTAATTAACTTTCGTTTTAATTTTATAAATGCCTTAATTAATTTATAAAAAAATTATTATACATGTTTTTATTTTACTATGAATAAAAACTTTATGATAACTGAGAGCATGTATAAAAAATGGTTTTATATTTCTAACCTATCTTGAATAATTGTGTATAAAGATAGATTATAATTAGTAAAGCATTTTACTATAGAATTTCTGGTAGAAAAAAATAAGATGTAAATACTTTTCAAAGTTTGTTTTTTACATAAATAAAAATTAAAATAAGGGTGAACTCGTGATTTCTCTCTCTACATTTTATTTTATTTTAATTATTTTTTTTAAATCATATTTTTAGAATGGAATATGTATTTTGATCAGTTAGAAGATTTTACGCATTGTTCATTTACATGTATATATCAAAGGTGATGCTTGATGCAGAGCTTCGCTACCAGGCCAACCATTATGCCCATCGTATCAGCAAACTAGCCAACAAAGTAATGAAACTCGCATGCATTTCAAGATCAATACAGAAAAAAAATGTTGTTGGGATTGCAATTGGAACAATATTTGACTGTTACAAACAAAAAAAAAAGTTTAAGTCATGATTGAGGTTTTAGTTGAAAAGAAATGGATTTAAATTGCTTTAATTTGACTAAAATTAAAATAAATTGAAGTTCAAGATTGAGTTTGGAATAAATAGCCAAGATAGAAAATCAATTAAAAGCTTAATTGATGAGAAAAATAAAAATTTTAAATCTATTTAACTTAAAAATAAAGAATTAAATGACCAAGGATTGAAACAAATGAAACTAAGAATTTAGAAAACATATTATAATTATGTAAGTGGCATGATTGAATGAATTTTTTGTTTTTTAAAGACGAACAATAAGAAATTTAAAGACCATGGACCAAGGAGCAAAAATAAAAAAAATGGAAGGACTGTAATGAAGTTTGGCACAATTAAATGAAAGAAGAAACCTGATTCTCTTATATAAACTAAAACGATGTCGTTTCACTCCAAGTGAAATTGTGTTTTACTTAAAGAGAAAAGAACACGCATATGAAGATCAAAAGGAAAAGATGTCGTTTCATTGTTATTCTTTGTAGATTTCTAGAAAAAAAAGGAAATGGCAGAAACGAGAGCTTTTCATACAACTTTAGGGCTTGATCTTGGCCTTGATAGAGTCTCTTGGTGGCATAGAAACAAGAGAAACGAGGCTATTTATAAAGTATTGTTGATAATGGTTTCAATCTTTGACTTGAGAAAAGGATTGTATAAGGGTTTAAGTTATCTCAAGGTCCTTAAAAAATTATAATATGTTTGATCTTTAATGAGTTAAAAAAAATATAAAATTATTATTTTTTTTTTTAAAAAAAAATTGTCTGTAAGCACATACTTGAATAAAAATTTAAAACGTAAAGTACTTTATGGTTTAAATCACTATAAAATTTTGATTTATATTTTTTTAATTTTACCTCTTCACTTATTGTATTAATTGATTTAAGGTATATTTAATTTATTTTTATTATTGTTTGAGCTTATTTGTATTGAGTTGAGTTGCATATTGTTTTAAGTTGAGAAAAGTATTTTTAATTGGCAATTTAATTCACTCTTTTCAGTTCACAGTTCATATAGACTTTTAGATGTTAGCTCTAATATATATTAATCAAGTAAATCAAGAAATGAAACATACTTTCTAAATCGTAATGTCAATCTTTATTCCCTAATTTTATGAGTTCTAATTTCGGGTAAACATTCTACCAAAATTATTAGATTTTTTTTTTAAATACAAAGGTTGCAATTTTAAGATCCCTTGATGAGAAAACTTAATGTCGAATAAATTGACTTACAAATTCCTTTTATCTTAAAAAATAAAAAAAATAAAAAATAAAGTTTCTTCAGGTGATGAACTATCGTGTATGTTTACTTGTTATTGTCCTATAAAATTTATACTTTATCACTCTATAAGTTAGCTGGCTTCTATATAATTATGCTACTTATAAATGATATAGTGAAATTAATAAATGTTAAAGTGCAAGTGCTTGACATGTTATGAAAAAATGTTTTTATCATTTTATGATTAACTAATTACTCTACAATTATAATTATAATTATTACCTGAAAAATACCTTGCTGGAAGGAACAATTCTATCTAACTAGCAAAAAAAAAATATATATTATAAAATGACTAGGAACTAAGAAATACTTGCGTTTCATGTATAGTGAATCTTATCTCGTTATCTTCTTGTATTTAAAGGCATTAGAGTAACATACTAGTGACCAATACTTCGTTATTTAAAATTAATTTATTATTCTCAAATCAATATTCTTTATATTTTATAGTGTATATATATATATATTTATTTTTTATTATTAACAAAACAATAAAATGTATAACTAAATTACTGTAATCTTATTATTTTTTTAATATCATCTTTTACTATTAAGTTGTTTTGAGATTACACATTATAATTTTTTTATCAAGTTATTTATTGATCTTATTAATTTAGTTTTTTTTGTTTAACATTCAACATTAAATATCTAAGAATTAAAGCTTTATTTTTTTTTAATTTTTCTTTCTACAAAACTGTGAATTTAATATATTAATCCAAGTTAATTTGATTTATTTTTTTAAATCACTTTTTCTAAATAATTTTTTTTTGTTTTTTTTAATATTATGTTGGTTAGAAATTAAGCTTTATAATTTTTTTTTTATTTTACTTTCTACAAGGTTATCCTGATCTCATAACTTAAATCACGAGTTTGGTATGTTAACCTGAGTTGACTTTATTTATTTTTTTAAAGTTTTTTTTAATTAATTTTTTTTTAATTTTTTTGATTTGCTTTCTCTAATATTATTCCAATATCAAGACTCAGGTCATGGGTTAGAAGGTTGATCTGAATTGATTCGGTTCATTTCTTTTTATAAAAACCTTTTCAGTTATTATTTTTTTATTTTCACCCTCTAATAACTCAATATTTTTTAAAATATTTTTATTATTTAATATTGGATTGTTTAATAATTGACCTTTATATTTTTTCTTAATTTACTCCTTAAGAGTTATCATGGTCTCATGAATTTAATTTTTTTCATCTTGATTCTAACATTTAATATTAAATCTCTTAAAAACACAACTTTTTTATTTTTGTATTTAATTTTTATAAAGTTATCCGGTCTTATGATCCAAGTTATAAATTTAATAAATTAGTTTAAGTTGACTTGGATTGATTTTTTATTTCATCTTTTAATATTTAATTATTTTGAAATCAAGTTATATAATTTTTTTAATTTATTTTCTATGAGATTTTCTGATCATATGAATTAGGTTGAGATTTGACAAGGTAATCTAGATTGGTATATATATATATATATTTTATTTAATATTTTTTTTATAATTTTATATTTTAATATTGAATTGATTAAAAATTGACATTCATAATTATTTATTTTTTATATAATCATTAAGATCTAACGATTCAGGTCGTATATTTAATAAGTTAAATAAAATAAATATAACATGTCATAATCTAAATATTTTTTTAAAATATAATTTAATATATTATTACATTAATATTTTAAATAAAATGCCATTCAACATGTTTTATGATTTGAATAAAAAAAACATGTTAATAATATTTAAATATTTTTTATGTTAAAAGTTAAGTCTACCTGCGGCACATCACGTATGATTCGGTTAATATTAATTTGTGATAAATGGTGTGTCATTTTGGTAATCTCATCACTCCAGAATCCCAACCATAAAATAGAAGTAAGGCATGGCTACCTTTCAGAAATCCCATCCCTTTCCGTTTGGATCAGTAACTGCAACACTGAAACTAACACCTGTACATACCTGTAACAATCTTCTCGAGTCGAGCAATAAATATAGAGAAAGGAACCCTTCTGTCTTTTATTTCAATCTCTCTTCTTTTCACTCCTTTTCTACACTAAAATCTTGATTTTGGTCAAGAAAGAAGACGGAGGAGCAAGTGTCGATGACAATAAAAGATTATGACGAAGAAGATATTTTGGACGACGCTGCTACCTCCAAAACCGAAGATTCGTCTGATCATCACGATATACTCACGCATTTCGCTCGAAAAGGAACGATCAAGACTGGAAAAGAAACATAGGAATACGTATCAATGAAGACTCAATTCCTTATGGGCATAAAACAATATGCTAACGATACTGAGTTTATTGCCTTACACAAGAACATGGGATTTACTCCGCTCAAGCTAGCTAGGTTTTTTGTGCTTACAAGTTTTGAAAAGGTGATTTTGCAGAAGAGAGGAGCCCTTGGAGATGCAAAGGTTGACCATGGTTGGTTTGGTGCTTCAAAGGAGGAAATTATTCAAATAATTTCTTATGGTTTTAGTTGGTGTAATGGTCAATCACACGGCCTTGGTGTTTATTTGTCTCCTTTCGAGTTTCTCCTTGACGCGTATGTTTCTTTGATTCCCTTTTTTTTTATTTCTGATGTTTCTTTAATTTATAGCTAAATGGTAATTAAGGACACGGCCCATTTTTTGTTTTACTGTTCCTGATAATGGGTTGTGTTGATTTATTGCTAATTTGATTTTGTATTTAATTTTACATTTATTTGTTGCAATTTGTTTGTCCAAGAAGGAGGCGTGACTGATTTTCTAGGGTAAATTAATTCACTTCAATGCAGGGTGAAATTTACAATTGCTGATGAAAATGGCATGAGGTATATGCTGTTATGTTATTTGACAATGGGGAATATGGAAGTGATTCCGGCAGGTTCGAAGCAAGTATATCCGAGTTCAGTGGAATTTGACACCGGTGTTGACGATCTTGAAGCACCAAGAAGATTGCTTGTGCGGAGTGCTTTCATGAATTCTCACATCTGTCCTGCTCCTGCCTGCAACATAACTTTTAAGGCCCCGTTTTTTGGTTTTGTTTTGTCAAGAGATCAAATCAGTGAACTCCCTGGAATTTCTTTAAGTTTCCACGGAAGTGCCTCGACTTTTCCTGCTTTGTTTTTTTTTTTTTTTAATTAATTTATGTGTTCGGGTCATTTGTGTCATACAACTAATCTTATGAATCCTGAAGTTAATAAAATTAATAATTATATAAGTTTTCAGTGATCATCGTATAAACAACCAAAAACTTAAACCTGAAAGTACCTCTTAATTCTAAAATTTTACTACTTGACCACAGTCTACATGATTAACTTTTCCTGCTTTGTTTCCTATACTGGCGACTGTTATTGGTCCAGCCAAGGCGGTTTGATTTACAAAAGCCTTGTAGACAAAAGAGCAAATGATCCAGACTAGAGGCGGATCATTGGGAACGACCGGCGATTGATTGCAATAATTAAATCCAGCATAGACAAGGTGTGTGTACTTTCTTTCATTTCTTTGATCTTTAATGTTTCTGAAGGGTTTTGTTGTCCTGCTACATGCTGTTTGAACAGATTAACACCGTCGCATGGTGCTTTGGTTCATATGCTTGGCCGTGTTAATGATATTTTTATAACAAAAATCCATCCTTGTACTTTATATTAGACAGATCATAGTTTCATCAATATTGCTTGTGATCATAAGTGAGCTCTGTTTATAACAAAAATCTATTCGTTCCTTCACATGCCTTATTTTTATCATTTTTTTTTTCACACTTGCATGCCAACCATGAAAATGGAGTAAGAAATAGAGACAAAGCAGAAATAGGCCTGTATGACAGTCAATCCAATTATTCTTGAGATTTTGGCTTGCTTCTGTGCAAACGTTTGACAAGACAAGCATGGGCTTTGAATGGATCTAGGATTTCACGGGAAGTATGGTAATACATTTTAAGTTCAGTTTTGTGTTTGCATTGTTGTATAGAGCTAACATGGCCTGAGAATATCGAAACAAATATTGACCACCCTATTCCGGAACAGGCTGCGGCGAGCGCATCCAGCAGCAAGGATGGCGGCAGAGTCAACAAATGATAGCAGAAGGGAATTGCATAGCTTATTGATGGCCCTCTTCTAGAACATGTTACCAGAGTTGTTTGTGGTGTAATAAGGCTTCTTCATCACTTCATTCTGATGCCAGAATCATGAAAGTAGGTAGCATCTTTTTCTTCAAAAAAGGAAGCGAACATCAAACCCTGTATCACCTTCCAAGAAATCCATTTAGTTCCAGAGTAATGGATGTCAATATCCAGACAGGCGGAAAAGAAGTACCAATGTTGCTATAAAATGGTGATTTGACTATAATAATCCCTGAAAGATGAAGTACCAATGAAATTGGAATTGGCTTACTGAAAGATAGAACTTATTTCCTGGAACAGGTACAAGGCAGTCGAGACAAAATTAATCGTCCACAGCTAGAACTGCAGTGTCCAGTCCATGATGCGTTAAATGGCACAGAAATGAGAACAGTGTTTGTTCCATCCTTGTGGGCTGCCACATTTCCTGAGCTAACTTGCTCGATCCTCAGGTCAGGGTTCGGTTCAGGTCACAATTGCTCACCACTGCTAGTCTTAATTTAGACCATGAAAAGCCCACAAAATTCGCAGTCATTCTACCACGACCATTCTACCACGCCATGCAAAAGAGCGTGGACATGGACCCAGAGCCAGATGCACTAAACAAACAGAAGTGCAAGTTTTCGTAGCGCTTTGACAACTTAGCAACTCGCAACATTATCATCTGGTCTAGCTCTCCATCTTATTTATCAACAGTAGGATTTTAACCCAAAATCCCTCCTCTCTGCCAGTGACTTGCCATTCTGCAACCACCACAGGCCAGGTGGTCAGTATTCACCTTGGATCCTCGTGCTGTATAGGACTTATTTTCAGCCAGATAACCAGGCTAGATATTTGTCCGCATTCGGAACTCATAGTCCAGCTGCCAATACCACCTCCTCACTGCTGCCACCTTTCTTTTCAAGCTAGTCTTTTTTAATGAGAAAAAAAGAGTAAGACGACTCGATGCTTCAAGAATCAATCTGCTTCTCAGATTTACAAAAACGGAGTCAGCAATGTAAGAGAATCTCCATTAAGAACCAGTTCTTAGATTAATCAACCACCAGTGCTAGAAATGCATTAGGTTTTGCATCTCTTTATCTTATTGTTGTACTGGTCATCAATAAGGAGTGATATTCCTGACACAGACGCTTGAACAAAAATCTCAGGAAACAAATCCTCTTGCACTTTCATGTTTTGCTTTCTGGATTCAGAATGAAGAGACGATAAAGCCTGTCGCACCTTGTGACAACTTCAATAACCAGAACAACACCATATGTCAGCAAAGCACTTCTCTTTGTTTCTTTTTTGTTATATATGAAGTTACTTTGTCACTCAAGATTCAACTTCAACTGGAACATCCTGCTATAAAGCATGGAAAAACTCCAAGCAACAAGACAAAAACAACCGAACACAATTACATCTATATATCTATATAATAAAAACATAAGAGCTAACAAGCAAACTTGTAGTTCCTGCATAAAACTGAAAATCTTGGATGCATCCATAAAATCCTGATAGAATGCAATCTGAATCAAACACTATGCTAGCTTGCTTATCTCCTTCTCAGCTCAGCCGCTGCCTGAGCTGCACAGGTTCTCCTTGATGCTCGTCTCACACGCTTGTTTGTGCTTGATTTAAAGATCTCAATCAACAACTGGTCATCCCCAGCGATCTGCCTCACAGCCTGGAACAGTTGCACGCCAGTGACCTTACGTTTGACAAAGTCGTCATAGGTTCTGGAAATCAAGGCTCCCTTGGCAGGACCCAAAAACTTTACCATTGTGAGATGTAGAGCAGAGACACTCACAAAACCCAGGTTTCTTATTTCACTGATCCGATTCATTAGCAAAGTAGTGGAAGAAGGTGCCTTAAACCTTATGATGTAATCAGGAAGAATGTGAGAATTCATGAAAGCGGTCCAGACAACCAATCTTCTTGGTGCTTCAAGATTGTCAACACCGGAGTCAAACTCCCCTGAACTTGGATATCTTTGCTTGGAACCAGCCGGAATCACTTCCATCTTCCCCATGATCACTTTACATAACAAAATATGCCTCATGTCATTTTCATCAGCCCTTGAAGATTCCAACCTGCAGTGAAAAAAACTAATTCTGTAACTCTTAAGCCGAAAGGATTTATCCTAAACAGATTTGCTAAGGTAAAAGACTCACAGATCAGAAATACACAAGGATACGTAAAGGAAGAAGCATGCTGCATACACTACCGAGGAATAATGATCCACATCCACTCCAATTTCACTTCCACCAACAGCCTTTGAAGATTTAAATGAAATGAAGTCAAGAAATATCACTTTTCCATTTTGATCACCTTATATTTTCACTATATTTCAATATTTTCTATCCAAAACAAGAGTGACATGCATATATCCAGAACATCAAATTGATCCAGAAACCCACAGATTCTCAATCTCCTTTGTTGAACAAACAATTAGGACTAGTGATTAACAAGAACAGCAAAGAAAATATAGTCTCTGTATTGATTACCATTTAGTAAAGAATCATTAGTACTAAAAAAAGAAGAAGGAAAAACATACCCATCAAGGAGAAAACTAGTAGGAGACAAATAAACACCAACGCCATGTGATTGACCATTACAACAACCAAAACCATGAGAAATGATCTGAGAAATTTCCTCCTTCGACCCACTATACCACCCATACTTAACATTTGCATTTCCTTGGCCTCCATTCTTTTGCGAAACGACCTGTTCAAAAGCTTTAAACGCAGCAAACCTAGCCTTCATCGGCGAAGTAGAAGCAGAGTTCTTGTAAATGGCAACAACCTGTGTGTCTTTAGCATGCCCTTTCATTCCCGTTAGAAAAGTCTTCTTTACTCCATCATACTCCCTTGTTTCTTCTCCAATCTTCAACAGTCCAGCGAAATGCGCGAGTTGATCGTCGGTTTCAGAACCAGCTGAGTCCTCCAAAATAGCTTCTCCTCCGTCGAAATCTTCTACTGTCATTGGCACTTGATCATCTTGCTCTTCCATCGTAATTCTTTTATGGTTTTGGGAAGGGAGAGAAGGGTTTTTCTTCGTGAGCAGAGATGGAATGAGAGGAGAGAGAGAGGGATATTTATAACGGCAGGTGGACCGTTATTAAAGTAAAGCTTTTTTGGCACGGTTTCTTTCTTTCTATTGTAATCCCAAATAGGAGCAGGAAGGAACTGCAAGAGCCAAGAGGCAGCCATGCCTTTTCCTAGTGATTAAATTACCCAAATGACCTTGTTGTTTATTAAATAAGGTCAAGGTAATAGTTGTCTGACCGATTCGGCATCTAATCGGAAAAAAACCCTTGTGTGGATTGAATTTTTAGAATTTATTTGGGATTACAGTAGTTTTTATTTTTAGATATTTTTTAAAAAAATATATATTTTTTTAAAATATTATATTAATGTTTTTTTTTGTATTTTTTTGGTGATTTTAATATTCCAATGTTAAAAATAAAAAAAAATCATTTGATCATGATGTTAATATAAATTTATTATTTATTTTTAAAATTAAATTGTTTTAGTTGTTTTTAATTTTCCAAATTTTTTACCTGGCTAAATCAATATAAAACCATTTAAAATTAAAATTCTGAGTTAAATTTAGAATCATGATGATTTTATTATATTAATTTATTTAATTAAATCGAGCAATGTTTAATATCTATAATAATTATTTTTTTACTAAGTCGAGTTCTTCCATAAAAGAAGAAGAAGAAGCTGACACACACACACACTCGCCAGTATGGACAAAAAAATCCTCCATTCGTAGGAAAACACACAATTTTTTAGTCATTGATTTCTTCCAAATCCAACGGTGGTAAAAAACCATGTTTTTGATTCGCTACATGTTGTCTTCCTTAATTAAGATATTTCATTGGTTATCTTGCTTTAATTATAATATCATCACAAACTCTTTTGAACTTTGAATTCATTTTTGTGGTTTAACATATTTTTTAAAATATATTTTATTTAAAAAATTATTTTTTTATGATTTTGATGTGTTGTTGATATATATAAAAATATTATTTTAATATATTTTTAATTAAAAATATTTTTGTTCAAGCATCCTACACGTACGTGTTCCATACAACTCGATGATCTTAATCCCTCATACACGCCTTTGGTTACCATTTTATTTATTTATTTAAACAAAACAGCAGTCGCTTGTACAACTACGATCACTTCAAAATCTTGAGACATAAATTCAAAACAGTTATTCGAATTTCAAACAACTCAAGCAATGTTTATATATATATATATATAGAAAATGTATACATTGATATCTTAATATAGTTAGTCTTTCGATTTCGAATTTGAGCATAGATCTCACCGTGCAATAACATCAAATTAGGGCTGGAGAAAAATCTTGAGGGGAAAGGGGGAAAACAAGAAGAGAGAGCGATAAAAAGGGAAGAGCAGCATAATCATAATCAAGAGAGAGTAAATCATTTTTCATCTCTTGTACTTTTAGATTTCTATATATATATATATATATATATATATCCTTTTTCTAATCAAGGAATATATTATATATACATTGAGCTCTCACCACGACAGGTTGTTTTGAGGAACATGAGATGCCTGGTTAGGGTATTTTCTTGGAGATGATCGGCTCCATCTCAGACATGGAGGCTGACAAGGATGCGTAGCTAGGACATGCATTTAGGCATGATAGACTAGATGGCCTTACTCTCGGGTTCATGTTCTTACGTTTTGTATTTGCTTCTGACATTTAGGTGATTGTAAATTTGAGTTTAACTTGTCCAAGTGGAGGTGGATCGAGCCATGGACGCTACTGCAGGTGAGCTTTGGATTATTGTTCTTTCATGGTACTTGACATTATCCTGATTAAATAATGCCTAAACTATCACCTGATGATATGCTTTCTGTGATTTTGAAACTGAAATTTAAAACTCAACTCGATAATAGTAGATTCGGAATAAGATCTAGGTTATGGATCGAACAAATTAACTCAATTTTTTTAAGAAATCAAAACGATCTTTTTTCTTCAAAAAAACCTTACTAGATTAAGAGCCCCGAGTCCCAAATAAACCTGCCAAGCCAAACACGTTTAAGAGATATATAATCTCATGTATAGTTGTACAGGATTCTAGGTTGTTAAAATTTTTGAATTATTTGATGGAAATGGAGGACAGTTGGGGATGAACTGTGCGTAGTCATATACTTTCAGGTGGAGCTTCTTCTTCTTTTGTTTTTTTTTGGATTGAGATAATAATTTCAATTCCAGAGCCGAGTAAACAGTTGGGAGAAATGAACTTGAAGAAGATGACTGCTTTTGGACCTCAAGCTCACCATGCAACTATCCAGTTTTTGCAATAAACCATTTGATTCACGAGCGATATCACACAAAAACATCTCAGCAATTCATTTCTTTTAGATCTTCTTGCCTTCTCTTCGAAGGCGAGGAGGTTAACATTATGAAACCTCGCCATATTTCATGCCATTTCCGCACTCACAAGGTAACCTCACCCTCTACTATACCTGGTTTTAAAGGAACAGTCCAAGGGGCAAGGGGCAAGGGCCAAGCGCCAAACAAAACTTCATTGTCAATCACTGAATGATCTGTCATTATTTAATTTCTCCAAGTTTGTCAGCTGCTTTCTCCATGGGTGGTGGTCACTGAATGAAGTTTACGAATATTGATTATTAAGTGACAGAAATCCCATTACATGAATCGCATATGCTTTCGTGGTGATTTCTGTTTTTGTGGTCACTTGTTCTCTGTCGTACATTTCACGTACACTTTCTTCCTGGCTTGAACAGCTTCGGGATCATCCCTAATGCGAGAAGAAGAGCTAGGCGTGTTCTGCTGTCCTTGAGCGTCCCTTGCGACATGTATGAGCCTCCTGGATCAGTACAAGATGATTTTTACAAAAAACATCAGCCTCGAGCAAAATTCTTATGATCATCATGTTATCAGATCTCAGCTAGTAATATAATGGCACTCTGATATGTTAATTAGAAAGAGAGGGGAGGGTGCCATTAAATCTTATTCAAGTGATAATATAGATCTAATCCATCCAAATTTGAATGCATACGTACCATTAAATCTTATGCAAAAACAGATCCTCCAGAGCTGAAAACTTGTCAATCTTCCAAACATATTGTGGTTCTTTCGCCAACAAAAGATGCTCCCCTTGATGAGAGCTTTTGATAGCAAAAACTTCCACTCCAAATATGCAACAGTCACCAACCAGGAAGCCCCTGGAAGGGTCAAGAAAAGCCCCATGGGAAAGCACTTTTGGGAAACCCTGTTCAAACTTCATCTTATGAAAGCGCCATTCTTTTCCATCAGCATATAAAATTCTGAATATGCAATGCTATCCTGTTCCCTGGTTTGCATTCCAACTAATGCGTCCAATTCAATAGCCTGATGGAATAGACTATGACAATCAACTGCTTCCCAACAATGAAACAATAAAAATAATCACCACTGCTGCCTGTCTGGAGGTAATAAACAGAACAACACACACGCCACCAAAAACCTGAAGATAAGCATCACTGAGAAGACGAGTAGCACATTAGAAATACTTTCTTGCAATTCATTCAAAAAAAATTTAAAAAGAAAAAAAAAAACGAAAGAAAGAAAAGGAGTAACCTGTGTAGTTGGAATTGAAGGGAAACCAAAATCCACTCTCTCCTGCACTCTCTGGCATTTCATCAAACAGTTACAGTATAAAGAAACTAAAACAGCACAATTTAACCCAACCTGTGTCCAAAATTACAGAGCACTCCCTTTAAACCTCTCTGGTTCATAATTAACCCTTCACGGCATCGAATCCTACTCGAGACCTCATTCTTCTACATCAAAACCAAATCTTACTCCACACAACGTATGCCTAAGCAAACAACAATAGTAGGAACTACAAGCAAGTAAAGGAGACAGCAAGACCCATTAAGTTCACAAGGTTCTTAACAATGACTGCCAATTGATTGCAAGAACAACAAACCCTACCCTAGCAATCAATGACGGCACAGCAAGAGAGTCATTAAATCCTGATACCATCAAACCCAGGACAAAAGGGAATTCCACTTATTGGGACCCACGAAAAAGTTTTTTAATGGAGCCCACAAATGTGAAAGACCCGAAGTCCCCAGCCATCCATGATCATCATCCAATCCAACTCCCTTTATCAAGCTTCTATTCTAGTAACTTGGAATGTGTACTTTAGTACGGTACCGTACCACGTTTGCCTCCATAATACCTTTTCCACGTCAGCAACAACAGATTAATATAAAAAATTTCGAAATCTAGTTACCGTTGAACCGCTACCGCCTCCGCCTCAACAAACAAACCGTTTTTTCTTGTATAGATTTCAATTCATGGGCTTTGCTTTTCAATTACGAGTTTCCGTTTTTCTTTCTGAAAATTTTTAGGGTTTTATAATCTCTTCTCTCCCTCCCTGTTGCGGCCAATTATGCTTTCTTTCTTTCTTGATCATCAAGAAAGGAAGTAAGTAGCCTTGCCCCTGTCTGTCAAATCTTACTCTGGTCTTCCCTGTTTATCCATCCATCTATTCATCGATGAAGTTTCTCTCTTTCGTTTGAATCCGATCCTCATCAATTCCTTCTCTTTATCTAATCCAAATACACGATCTTAGCTTTGGCAGAATGGCCATGTCGATATTACAAAACCCAGAAACGATAACCCCACAAATGCCTCATGGTTATCGATTCCACCCCGATGATCAAGAACTGGTTCGATTCTATCTTTATAAAAAAATCACTGACCCTGATCTCTTCACCGCCATCAATGTTCCGGTTAGAGATTGTCCCCTCTTTGGCGACCACGCCAGAGAACCTTGGCAAATCTGGGACTCCTTCCCCAAACGCCATGGCGAGGATCTCTTCTTCTTCACACACCTCACTAAGAAAGGCAAGAACTTTGTCCGCAAAATCTGCCGTGGTCCTGGAACATGGCACCAGGAGTGCAAACACCCTCCTTTCAATGTCTCTATCGACCACACTTGCCAAGTCGCAGCCATCAAAAAGCAATTCACGTACCATAATCCTAAATCTGACCAAAACGGCTCCTGGTTCATGTTTGAGTACAGTCTGCCATCCCTTTCCGAACAAACTGTCTTGTGTCAATTGAAAAGGAAAGAAGTCCA